TAATATAGTATATTAATATATTATTATTATTAATTTATTATATATTATAATTTATAAAATTTAATTTTTTAAAATATCATAAATTTTTTATCTATAATTATTTTAAAATATTTTATATTTTAAATAATAATGATTCGAACGTGAACGAACTGATTAGTGTACAATTTGTTTCATATAACTAGCCTAACTAAAAAAAAAATTAATGTCGGTCTAGTTTACTTATTGAACCAATCGGAACAATTGACTAACCGAAGAAGAACTGTTGGGGAGCAACAAGCTTGGTGTTTTGACAGCACTTCAGTTTATTAGTTTGTGCTCTGGTATGTGTTGCTAATGGCGAGGGCGGGAGGGATCACGAATGCGGTGAATGTGGGCATTGCGGTGCAAGCCGATTGGGAGGATCGGGAGTTCATCTCTTCGCTCAATGTCCGCCGCCTCTTCGAATTCCTCCTCCAATTCGGTAACCCCTTCCAATTTTTTTTTTAGCATTTCCTATTTCTTCTTCTTCTTTTTAATGGTTCTGCACCGTCCGTCGATGCCTCCTGTTTGAATTGTTGATCCATTGAAGAGTCCTGATTTGTGTTCTTTATCGAGTAGAAATTTATTCTCTTGTATTTTTCCTTCACGTCAGCTAATCTGATTGGGTGCTGAGTTGATGTCTTTTCTAAGGCACTCTGCAATAGCTATTGAGATACAATCAAAAGGCGAGAAAAAGAAACGAAATAACCTGTAGTCCGGTTTGTGAGTGACAGTTTCTGAAAGTTAATGCTAAAGATGGTAGATCTTGCGCGGATCTGGCAACCGTCGAGGTGTTGCAGCCGTCTGGCGGGGAACTGGAATTAACGAAGAAGACGGTCTTCAGATATTTTCTTGGCGGTGGATTTGGCAGCCAGTCGAGTTGATGCGGTAGTCTGGCAGGGAACTGGAGCTGAGTGGAGAAGACGGTCGTCAAAGATGTTCTTGGATGTGGACATCGCAGCCAGTCGAGGTGATGCCCGCATGGGAGTGTTTGAAAAGGGCGAGATTTTGTGGATGCGGGAGAAGGATCAGCGACGGTTGTCGTCGGAGGCCAAAGAGAAGAATCGGTGAATTGAAGGATCAGTCGGAGAAAAAGATAGGAAGCGAGGATGGGGAGGCGGAAGCTGAAGAATCGACGAATGGTAGGGACATGCGAAGGATTGTGATGAGAAGTAAGAGGAAGTTAGTGGAGTACGGTAGAACCAGAGCACCAATTTGTTACGATCTAGCTGCAGTTAGTGGAGTACGTTAGAACCAGAGCACCAATTTGTTACGATCTAGCTGCTGAGAATATGACAGGAAAGGAGAAATGGAAAAAAATAGGGAGAAAAACATGTAAGAAGAAATTACTCTTCACTGCCATATCTTGAATACAAGTAGCCTTTGCCTATTTATAGGTAAAAAAAGTAAGAAAATATTGTCTAAAAGGGTTAACGAATAAAAATGGAGTTTTAAGAATAAAATTAAATAAAAGCTCTAGCCATCTTGGATGCTGAAGTGTACGAGCAGGGTTTAATGAAATTGGTGTTAGGATGTGGTCCGGCTGACTCATATCAGTGTATGAGATCTATGGGCTGGGTGGATTGGTTGATGCCAAGAAAGATCAGCCAACCAAACAGAGTGGAGAAGGAGATGCAATAAAAACATGAAATGTTGACGGGATGAGTGGTGAGTTTTGTCATCACCCATTGATTAGGAAGATGTTGCTGCCATGGTGAAGTGTATCTCATAGTATGAAAAGGGGTTGGGCATAGCTAGGGCAGACCATAAGTTGGAGAATACTAAGCGGAAAGAGTAGAGATTTTAAAATAACACTTTCCCTGATGGTTGATTGGACCGCGTGTAAACTGATGAGTTGATAAGGGGTAGTAACGTTGAGAAGATGAATGTAAGAGAAAGCATTTAAACCTGTAATTACCATTTCTAGTAGGATTTGGTAAATCCTGGTTTAGAACTAAAATTGATAGATTCAAGATTTAAGGCAACATGAGACTTAAGTGGCATGGGAAAGTCTTGTGGCAGGATTTAGGCTCATAGAAAATCTATTTTTTTATAAGGCTAAACACACACACAAAAATATGTGGTCGTACAATTAATAAGGTGATGAATATGAGTATTGTCTCACATAGACCAATAGCTAATTACTGAAATTAGGTTGGTTCCAACTTTGTTTAATTGGATGAAAAAGAGGAAAATGAATTAGAAAAACTAATTGTTAGAAATGGAGGAATCCTAAAGGTTTGATTGTTATAGGTTAATGATCCAGGGATTAGATTTCACTAGAACTAGTTAAACATATATTCGATAATCAAGCATAAGGGATCGCAATGCTTGTATGAGTTGTCATATGATTTGGCATGGTATTATTATTAAATGTCACCTAAATCTTATCTAACAGAGAGAGAGAGAGAGATTGGGAGGGAGGGAGGGAGGCTCTAGAAGTTTTACTACAAAAAGATGAGTACAAGAAATTTGAGCTTAATTGCTAAAGATTCAATAGTTAGCGCTTTTCCTATTAGCATCAATTTATATTTTGGCGTTGGGGTGAGACTTGCTAAAATTTGTACATAATAAGATACATGAGCACAAAAATGTGAAGTACTACACATTGATTATTTGTTATAAAATTTCAGTGGTGTGTAGTTTGAAGAAGAATCAATTCTATAATTGACATATTAAGAGGGTTGCTAGTTGTCCTAAATTTGTCAAGTATATCATGTGCTTGGGTGATATGTCTGAGATTAACAGTTGGTAAGTTCGCCATGGATCTAGCGAGTTCTACATGTTTTCTTCATAAGCTCTGTTGCGTTGAACCTGATTGGTGAGTTTGCCAACAATAGAGCCTTAATCCCACTACGTGGGGTCGGCTACATGAAACCTTTTTCTCCATTGCTTCCTATTTAGTGTCATATTTTCATTTAGTTCTAGTAAATTAAGATCATTTTTTTATACAATAAGCCCAAGTCTTCCTAGGTCTACCTCTACCTTTCTTAGCACAAGTTGAATCTAAAACATCTTCCAGGTCAACCTCTGCCTTTCTTAACACAAGTCTTCCTAGGCCTACTTTTGCCTTTCGTATATATGAAGAATGCATGTAATATTTGCTCCTAACCTAGATGAGTCAATAATTTACTTGATTTATAATAAATCTCTAGTTCTTATTGTTGATAATGAACCAATCACAAGTAAAATAAACACATATTAGAGACTTAAAACAACAATAAAGCATAAACGATCAACTAATTATATCTATATCTAATCCCTATTAAAGGGATTGGCTCATGCTAAAGTAATAGAAAACATAAGAATGTGTGATCCAAAAATAAAAATAGCTAGTCGAGCAGAGAAAGAAAATGTTTAGTATTGTTGGCTTTTGCATTGCTTCGCCATGGCTTTCTTAACCTTTGTCCTAGGTCTCCTTCAAATTTATTGTCCGAGGATCCCCTGAAAAACTTAATTTTTTTTTTATTAATGTTATAATATATTCTTTTAATATTTCTGTTTAAATTTTGTAATTTGTGGCACTTAGATTTACTTAAAATTAGGTCAAGGCCAAATCAAGTTGTTGAGCACTAGTTGTGATCTCCTGTGCAAGATGAAAATTTCGAAATTTTGAAATTGACACTTAGGCGTTGGATATGGCACATTGGTATCTTGCATGGGCACTAGGTTGGGAGCTAAACCCTTAGTAAAAAATTAAAATTTCGACCTATATGGGCTTCTAAGCATCCAAATTGCTTTTGTGCATTGTATACTGCTCTTATTATCCCAATCGCTTCTATTTCACAACTTGCACTTGAAATTCAAAGAAAATAGATTTGTCTTGTATTAATAAAATAATTTAATTAGTGCAATGATAAAATTGAGCCAAATTAACTTGAGAAGTCCAAAAAATTAGATTGGAAAAATATTATTAAAACGTCATTTTATTAACATCCTCATACTTATCCTTGGGTGAAGAAAAAATCAAATAGGTTGAGATAAAGACTTTACAATATAATCCTGTCAGTGAAGCGAAACTATACATTATTTTTGTAAAGCTATATAAAGTGTTAAAGATTATTTCTTATTACATAATAAAAAGATGTTTAGATGCTTACAGAAATTTTACTGAACAATGTATTGACATTCTCTCATATCCTCAGGAATATTTGTGAGCTATAAAATTTCATGCAAGCATTGCTCAACACCCTTAGTCTCATTTAAAAATCTTTAAATGTGTATAGTGGGTTGTTATGTGAACTATACTAATTAGTATTCCTTATGCTTGAGAATTGAAAGTTGTTGATATTGAATTTATCTCGAAGTTGAAAGTAGATTATATTCATAGAACGGTGACGGTAGATTTTAGAGAAAATGATGGGTGCATCGTGGGGTATGGCTATAAAAACTTTTTTTTATATTAATTGATTTGCATTTCCACTTAAACTAATCGCCAGATCATTGACCTTTAACCACTTATAATGTCTCTCTTTTTTAATTATTATTTTTTATTTCTTTTGCTTGTAATAACCCTATTTTTGTCTTTTTTAATTAAAGTTGCAACCAACCCAATTTTAGTAATTAGTGATAAGGTCTGTGTGGAATGAGATATTCATATTCGCCACTTTATTACTTTTGCAATTTGGTACCCTTGAATGTGCATTCAGTCGTATCAAATATTTTTTTGACGTGTAGACTTACTTCTTTTGAATGTATTAAAAAAGTTTCATATTCTATATGGTTATTTCATATTTTATATAACAAGTACTTGGTTTAACGTCTCTATTTGACATAGCTCACCTGTACTATGTCAAGGTTGATGTTGTCCATCCTTTGATCCTTCGGGGTCATGTCAATCATGGAATATCTCTTTTTTTCATTGTATTGCCATTCTAAACCATCGAATGATCAAGAAGACTAACATTATTCATGGTAATATAATGCTTATCTTTTTCAATTGTTAGCAATTCTCTTCCTCATAGACTTTGAAAATGACTTATTCCTTCTGCACTTAGAGGTGCAATTTTCCTTCTAGGTATCAGTTTGTGCTCTACTACTTGACAAGAACGATCAACCTAAATATTGGGGTATTTTGTGTCTCCATCATCCATCTCTGAAATGGTGAAAGTTTATATTGGCAAAATTGGAAACTCGCACGTTATTCCTTTGCGAGGCTTGGTGTAAGCCTTGAGGTAGATTGAAGTGTGAGCATCAAAATGAAAAAAACTCATAAAATTAATATAATTAATAAATATGATATAAACTATTGATATATTAATTTAGTTTATTTTTAAAAGGACATAAATCATAAATCTAAATCTTAAATGTTGATATTACATTAAAAATTAAAATGAGATTTAAGTTAAACATTCACTTAAAATTTAATTATGTCATGAAGATCAAAATCCATACTGACCCTACCCTCATTTCCATCATTCTCAAAATAATCATCATTTGTAA